GTCTCTGAAAAAGGGATGAACATCCTCCCCCCTTGTTTTTAGCTTAACARAGTAAGACAGGCAGTTCAATGTAAACACAGGATTTAAAATACTGTACACAGCGAGAACAAGACTTTTTTGTGTTTTAAATTTATGACCTTGATTGTGAATTCTTTTCCCAAATGAAAAAGTAATACTGTTAGCAAAAAAGTCATTATCTGAAGAGGTCTGCAATTTGATTTAAGTGTGTAGATTGCAGAACCAGTGGCCCTTCTTTAATACATGTGATTCTGGGCAGGGGCCTTGGGCCACAGTGGTGATGTCCAACCTGCTGTGTAAACCTCCCAATCGGACTGGAGTTGCTCCTTATCCAGTCAGATTGGCCAGGACAGATCATATGGAGTTAAACTGAAGTGCATAAACTACTTCTGCTCCTTTTTGTCTCATTATCTCCACAGAACTCAGGAACCTTAACTCAATGACACCTTCATACTCCCATCCTTCATACTCCAATCCTCAATACAGGTAGAAAGCTGCAGCATGGCAGTGGGGAGTTGTATTTACTTACATCAGAGGTAAATGGCTAAATAAATAAATTTCATAATTTTTTTAAAAAAAAACCCTGCGGCCTTATTTAAATTTGTAGGTGAATTTCCTGTTACAAGATGACCTTTAGGTTTGATTAGACTTTTAGGTTAATGAAGACCTAAAGGGCGCCACCCGCCCGCCCTTTGTGTTAGCAAAGAGGTAAGAAATACAGACTGACTTTCCTGATGTTACCACTTTGATCTGATGACAGCTGAGATCTGGTTTTGGAACAGGCTGCCCAGGGAAATGGTGGAGTCACCATCCCCAGAGAGATTTGAAGGAGGATTAAACCTGGCACTGGGGAACATGGTTTAGAGATGACTAGGATGTTGGGTTAACGGGCGGACTTGATGGTCTTAAAGGTCTTTTCCAACCGAAACTGTTCTACGATTCTAAAATTGTACAAGACTATGAATCACTGGAACAGGCTGCTTCCACAAACAACGGAAAACATGCTTTCAGCCCAAMATGCGTGAGGCAAACTAGATGACGAGTGTGCAGGAGGACAGAAGTGTCATGCGAAGGACAAGCCGTGAGATTGATGCCTGAGGAAGAGGCATTTCATCCACGCCATCCGAGGGAAGGCAGGGGCCGGAGCCGCCGG